CTGCCCTTCACGGACAACCGCCGTCGAATCCAAGTCTGACCGGCAGAATCGACCTTTGCACGTACTTCAGACCAATTCTTCTCCAGCTGGAGGTCAGGCCCAAACCACACTCAAGAATGCGGACAGGACCGTCCGTCCAACCGAAGCGGCCCGGAAGATCGACCCCTTCCAGGCACCTAACCGCAAGCCGGACGACTTGTCGCGGTTTATCTTGGCCCCTGTCACCTTCTCGTACCGATCAAGCGCCTTCTGTACCGCCTCAATGTCGCTGCGGGACGACACGAAAGCAGATACGTCATCGGCGTACGCGGGAAACCCTGGCTCGAGACCCTCCAGGCACGGCAATTCCACGTAGGGCCGGACTGCCGGTCTCGTCCTTCAGCCGACGAAGGAGAGGCTCCAACGCCAAAGCATAAAGGAGAGGCGACAGCGGACAACCCTGACGAACCGACCTAGACAGCACGAAAGCGTCCGACAACCTTCCGTTCACCTGTACCACAGCACTGGGGGAGCGATACAGGAGGCTAATCCAGCGGCAGAAGTTGGGTGCGAATCCAGCGGCCTGCAGGACAGTAGCAAGGTAGCGATGATGTATAATATGTAACTAGTGAGTTAGCTCAAATGACTTAACTCACTTTATAGTCCACCAATAGAAGGTTAACCAATCAGAAGACGTAGAATATTCAGTCCGTCGTGTATAAAGGCGGCCATTTTGTTTACTCTATCCGAATGTCTAGTGCCAGCTTGTCAGGCGAAGAGAAACAGAAGGACGAACTACGCTCTGCTACTTTTACCAAAATATCCACTGCTAACCTGAACAACGCTTCCCTACTGTCTTTGAAATATTTACTGCTAACCTCTGGATTCTATATTCAAAGACGACCGTCATCATGAATAACATAGCTGTCATAAAATTTCTATTTTTGGAAGGAGAATTGATTTGTCTGTTTAACGGAATATCAACACTCTGTGGGTCATTTAATGCCTACATTTAATTTTCTTGGGAGCTATGAAGTAATAAAAATATGATATGTGTTATTCGGTTTCACAACTAAATAGATGGTAGATAATCGGTTGGTTAGTTGATTTTGCTTAGCGGCATATCAACATTACTACTGGTTATTTAATGGCGATATCTAAATATTTGAACACAATTTTATGGCTTCAACTATTTTAACGTAATTGTATGCCTTCAACTTCAGACAAAATATATTGTTGGTAATTCTTCTATAAAATGTATTGCTGGTCATGTTACTTTAAAAAATATTTTTTCGTTTTACTATAAATAGGTATTGTTGGTATATTTTAATATAAAGATGTATTACTGGTACTTTTACTATAACACTGTATTTTTATATTTTCATAGTGTTTCATTTTTGTTTGGGTTTTCACTTTTTAGCCACAGCTGGGACCCTAACAAGTCCAAGGCTATAGAACCCAGTCTTTCCTGCTTGGGAAAGGTATTAATCCTCTTCTTTTTCCCTTCAGCTATAGGGCAATAGCTGGACAGACTAGGTTCATTCATTTTCTTTCTTTCTTTCTCTCTCTCTCTCTCTACATACATACATATATATATATATATATATATATATATATATATATATATATATATATTATTGCATGGAATCACCTCTTAACTGTTTGAGTCCCCAGAGACGCAAAAAGTTAAGAGGTGGTTCCATGTAATTCAAATTTTCCAATCTCCCGATCTGATGACTTGCTGCCGGATATAGTTTATCGTCATACCCAGGACTATTAGAAGAATAAAATTCTGCAAATATTCATATGTGATTCGTGAATGATTGTGGGGAAGCTTTGGTTGAGGCAAGCACTTTAAATATATAGACACCGTTGGTAAGGTGAAAAAGGTAAGTCCCATATCGATAAGAAAATAGTCTATCGATTATACCGGCTCGCATTCAAAGATAGTATATTACGATTAAAAAAAATCAGGAGAATTTGCTGAAGAATAAATAGGGAATCCTGAAAGTTTTGTATTCATCTTGGTATGAAGTGTTTCCTTCTACACTTAAATCCGTTAAAATGGCCATTGGTTTCCGACTGATACTTCTGTCACGTTAGAGAAGGACAGACACTATGTCCAGGAGTAGTTTTACGGCCTTTGTGTTCATTTTTGTTGGTTTTAATCCTGATAGTAATTTTTTTTAAATCGGATTCAACCCCAAGCAAGGCATTAATGCCACTGAAACACAAGGGATTACTGGGTTTGATTTGGTTTTTGTTTAACGTATATCAACCACAATGGGTTATTTAATGTCGACAATTTTTATTGCTGGTATTATTTTTCTTCATAAATGTATAGTTTGGTTTGTTTTGTTTTGTCTTACGGCATATCAATCACAATGGGTTTGTTGGACATTTCTGCTAATTTCATTTAACCATGGCCAATCAATCTACAACAGTCCTCTCAGAATTAGTCAAAATATTGTATTTGTTTATAACTTGTATGCCAGCCATTTACCCCTACAGACAATAGATT